TTTTCAAAAAATCACTTCTAACTTCTTATTGAAATAACGGTCTGTCATGAAATTTTTGGCATCTGGACCTGATCTTTAACGCAACATATGGGCGGAAAATTAGCGTTTGGCAATGCGTGGTTCATTTTTACGGAGAAAAAATCTGTGTACTTTTGTTTTCAGCCACCCTGTACATACATCTTGGTTTTGCACCTCCCATTGCAAGTGGAGGGCCAATAGATACCATAGTCACCGAAAGCATAAGAACTGCTGGGCTTGTTGAGCCCCGAGAATCGTAATTATTATCTCTTTGCATTTAATGAGATTGCTTGCCTAATTAACTGATAAGAGCGTCAAAAGATGAATATGCGTGAACATAAAAAGCCACGCCTCGCGTCTCTCAAGTTGTCATGACTATGCCTTCACCTGCCTACCGCATTACTTGCTCAGAAAACAATATTATGGAGATTAAACACCACGCTTTTAATGCTCCTCTATGTACTGAAATAGCTCCTCGCTGCATCATACCAGGTGCGATGTTAGTTTTTGAATTAACTTTATGTCTTTTTTTTTCTCTCCAACTATATTTACGTATCAAATGTAGTTGTGCAGTCTAAGTTTGGTATTTCAGCGTATGAGAAATTCTTTTGATTTTAGACGGAAGTTTGCAAACGATATAGCGGATAATATTTTTCTAGCACAGCGACAAAAACAACAACTATCTTTAGGTAAGTCGCGGATACGCAGCGATATTTTAGGATTCTTAAAATATTTTTACGAAAACATTGCACTTTCACATTCCTGGTTTGCGGCATCTAAGAGCATAATGAAAAAAAAAATACATACCGATATTGCGTCTCTCAGTGGTATAAAGAAGCCCGAGAATCTTGTGCTCAGTAGCAAGTGTATGCGCAAGCAAAAACAGTACAAAACGGTTCGCTTTTTTATTGTTGAGTCACGGTGTTTGAAAAGTGAAGTCGAAGTCATTTTTAGACTAGAGTTTCAAGCTTTTTCTTTAAATATAAAACAGCGCTATGTTGACGACTTGAATTCCATGAACATGCGTAGGCATCTACTGTCCTGTAAAGTACCTGAGAAGCGTCGAGTTTATGACTTCCGTTCTCTGCGCGAAGCACCCTAAAATCCGAACAAAACTGCACAAGATTGCTTCACCTCCGAGAATGGTATGCACGATTTCAAAGGGACGTTACATATAAGATATAAGGAGTTACACATATAACGTTCCAACAGGGACGTTACATATGTAACTCGTTTTTCTCCCTATAATAATCGTACTGCTTCAAACACTGTAGTGCACATCTACACACCTACACGCATGTGTTACGAATAGCCGAATGACATTTGCAATATACTCACTATATATATATATCGCTTTCCGAATAAAAATTGTTTATTTTGTGTCAAGCAGTTCTAATAAATCCACCTGACATAATTAACGCGGTAGCTTCGTTATGTGTCAGCCCGTATGTGATCGACGAGTGGCCGAAAGGCTCAACTTATTTTGAACGAGGACAATTTTTTTGCCTGCCTTTGAAGGTTTGGTGTTTAAAATTGTCATTCAATTTGCGAGATTGTTGCGCCATTCTGTTCCAAACCAAGGACGATATATTGAAACCGTTTTGAACGTGCTATGTTGCGAAATTCAGAGGGGTTTTCATCGCCTGTCAAAGCGACTATCTCGTGCAATGTGGAATGAACGTCATGCGCTCGGGTTTAGCCCATCTTTGAAATGTCACTGAATGGCTTCCAGTAAACTTTTAATTTAACAGTCTACCCCCCCCCCCCCCCCCCTTGCCTTTCACTTGATTGCATTAGAGCTCAAACTTTTAGGGATAATGTCGAACTAAGGATGTCATTTATCTTTCGGAAAGATTAACCGCGCTAGGCAGGTTCTTCCGCTTGAGGTATGTTATGAAATGACACTCACATTCAACCCCAAAGAACCAGCTAGGAACACATAAAGGGAATTTAGTGCATAGACTTCGCAAGGTTTTTCCTAGATCCGAGCTGACTATACTCCTAGAAGTAAGAAACATATTAATTTAGAGGGTTTCTATGCTTGATTGAAGAACAGCATCTGGCTCGCCCGTTGAAAGACGAAGGATTAATGTTCATAACCCGGAGAGATGCATCACTCTATAGAATGTGCTTGCGTTAATTTATTGTATATATGGTGTTTTCTGCATTCTATAAGCACTTGCTTAACCTGACAATTTGTTGATTTTGCTCTTTTTTAAATATTTTAAATAATAGTCGAATAATATTTTAATAAGATGAGCCCAGACTAGTCAAACGACTATGAGCCCAGACGGTTGCCATTAATTTGTAGCATACATTTATTTAAATGGAATCATTGATTGATCGATTAATCTTTTGACGTGCAATCGAAACTTTCAGTTATATGGTGATCCCGCCCGAAACACCCTTCCATCAAATGGTTGTTGCCTCGAGCGAGATTCGAACTCGTCCACTGGAACCCGTGGACCAACACTTGTGGAAATTGGGCATAATAACTAAACTGTGAGCGGTCTTCAAAACGGGTAAGAAAGACAAAGGAAAAGCTCGTCTAAAATAACTGAAAGATTATGCACGTTTTAAGGCAAGTGTTTATCACCATTGTCTGAAATCATTCTTAAAGACATTGTTTGTTTTGTTTCTTTTAAGAAATGGAATCGCGAAGGCAGTTTTTATGGAGTAAACCGAATATTTCACTTGTCTGCCATTCTTACAATTTTAAACACACAATTTTGTTGAAAAATTAGGTATTTTTGAAAAGGCTTCACTTTAGATAAGGTGAGGACATATTTAGCCCTGTCAGCTGAGAGTCTTCACATTGGTGTAAGCTTTGTGTACCCCGTTACCTTTTCATGCTATTCTCGATAAAACAAAATTAAGATAATTCTTTAGCTAAATATATTGGCTACTTGGAGCACCTCTAAAGGGGGCGCGCAGTGACAGTGTCCACGTTACACCACATAAAGAAGCACTGCCCGCTTTGTCCTCTTCTGATACGCGCACAGCGTCTTCTCCTAACCCCCCCCCCCCCCCCCCCCCCCGCTTTTTTTCTCCGTATAGCTCCGGAGTAAAAACTGTTAGCACCTTGACGTTCAAAACCTATACCCACGTCTAGCGTTGCTCTGGGTATGTTTTTCGTCATTCGACCGGCAGGAGTTGCTCGAAGCTCGGGTTTGTTCGTGTGTCCTGCAGGGGTGAGCGGCAACATACACCGCCATGGTGTCTTTGTTTGTCTTCCCTGGAAGGTGATCCTAAAAAGCGTTTGTGGATTTGACTGCTCTGAAATCACTCACTCTACGGGGTCAACGCTCACCATTGCCGGTAATTCATAAAATCTACATGACACGTACTTTTCGTTCCTCTTATTAAGGGATTGCTCTTCACTCGCTGGCGGATCGAGTAGACGTGTACTGGGATTGAGACGATTGTGGCGCTTTTTACCGGCGCATGGAAGGTATCTGTGTTCTCAATTTACAAGCCTCGCGTAAAAAAAAAAAGAAAAAAAGTTAGTGCTAACTGTGTCCCCGAACGTTGGTATGGCGCTGCGCTCAGGTAAAAGTTCAAATTTATTAGAAACTGAGGCCGGCTGCTACACATGATATCCTTGCCAGTCCAGCCGTGGTCTATGCGAAATGATTCTGCTAGGAGCCGCCCTGTGACGCCACTGATTTGTCGCATGCTTCCAATCCGAAGCGCAGGTTGGTCTGCTTCTGGTACAGGGGTTGCGATGATGTCAGAACGCCAAGCATTTATTGACTGATCGAAATAAATAGTGGGTAGACCTCAAGGCGTTTTGCATTGAGGTCTATTTACCATCCTTCCAATCAAAGCCAATCAGAATTTGACGTTGTTCTGACGTCACCGCAACCCCTGCGCAAGGGACAGACGACTTGCTCTCCGCATAGTCGCTATTAGCTTATGAAACGCAGAGCACGGCCAGTTCCGAGCGTCTTATTATCGCCCATCAGTCAACGAGATTATGACTTTCGCCGATAAGAACACCGGATGATGAATCAGAAAGTAATACGAGCGAACGTAATAACCTGCGCCAACCGAAATGCGTCTGGCCATGTTTTAAAATTTACTCGATCTTACTCCAGGGAGAGGGCTTGGTACCTTTGCGTTCGAAAACCTACCCGCGTCCAGCGTCTTTCTATCTGTGATATCGCGTGACATGACACACCGGAGTAACTCGGATCTATTTGGGTAAGATTTGGAACACAGCCTCTTTTGGAGGATGGGAGAGGGAGTGATGATATGTGCGACGAACGCAACCAATTGTCGCGCCCGTAGCTGTCTGGTCATTGGTAGTGACGGCGGTTGAGTGCAGACGACATGTGAAGTGCTTGATTTCCTCGTTCGTTGGAGCGCGTCTTATAGTCATTCTTGGACAAAAAAACAGCATAACATTCGAGGAATTTCCATTCCCCTTGCTCGAAGGCTAAGTCCTCGTTGGTAAAAACCAATGGATTTCCGAAAGCCGTACTGGAAAGGTAATCAACCATTGCTACGACTAGCAGACGACACTGGCGTTCGGCGTCCGACTGGTAGCCCTGATGCCACTGCTGCCTTTGAGCGAGGAGCACACGACACCGTTCCCCGCTCTTGCCGGAGGAATGGTGTGAGTAGAAACAGAAATATCCAGTCTTTCTGTCTAACCATCATCCTTCTAATAGCAATTGGTGGTCTGACGCCACTGCACTCGCTGCGCAGAAAGCTGGTGGACTTTGCACGCCGCATAGGCATATTAAAGCGAATGAATAGACCTTGTTCAAAAATTCATTAAGCAACATTGGTAATCAACATTTTTTGGGCACGAAGCGTGTGATTGTACCCGAGTCTTCGGCGAATTATCACGCAGGGCTCGCGTCCATTGCATGCTCAGACTACGTGCCCAAACAATGGCGGACAGGCGATGGCGCCCACTTTTGAAAAAGGGCGTATCGCGGACTCCGAGTGGACGCGGCAGATGCAGAGTGACTCACCGATGAGGTCCCATTCGCCGTTGGAGATGTAGGAGGATAGGTCTCCTCCCTCGTCGCTTTTGACTCGCAGGTCCAACTGGTAGCCGTTGTATGTCCACGAACCGAATTTGAGGTCGCACTTCTGGTCGTCAAAGGGGAACCAAGTGATGTCGATCTTGCACGTGCTTTTAAATATACCCGGTGGGATGTAGTTACAGCTGCCGTTGTGGCGGACAACAACGTTTGTAGGATACGTCCCGTCGAATTTTTCGTCCGCGCTGTGCGAAGAAGAATAAAAAGTGAGCGAGAGAACAAAATGAGACACAATTAAAAAGACACACAGAGGAGGTAAGAAAGCGCCACACCCGACCTTCAAAAGTATAACCTCGCAACCTGTTCCTTTTTTCTTTTATCGCAGCTATAATGTGTTTAAATTTTGGTTTATCGTCTTATCTTCTGGCGGTCGTGCCAGAAACAGATAGGTCATTTAGTCTGTAATTACCTAATTACTTCCTTTGATCCTTGGTTTATACTCCATGGTATATAAAGTTTTACAAAAAAAATATTCAGTAGAGAAGCACACGAACTGTCTTGAAGCTTTTTGTTTTATATCTTAGGTCAACTTGTCGCGCAAGGCAGATAATGCCACCTTCAAAAAGGTGGGACTGAAGAAACTTAAAACGACGACCGACGTTTCTCCTCTACGTAATTGAGATAACTCTCTATACTAGTTGAGCCGCCTAGCAAAATCTCGTTTCTAAGGTTAGGTTAAAGGGACCATGAAACGATTTTGAAATCGCATTTCATCCACCGCGCGTCGTAGAAGGTGTGAAAAGACAGCCAAAGAGCAAACATCGAGAATAAAAAAAAGAAGTTTTTCTATAGAACTTTTACAAAAAAAGCGGACTTTCTTGTACCTTTTCTTTCAAAAGCTCTGTGCCTTTTTCATGCGGTGCATCCGCGGTGCCACGGCACATTAGTTAAATCCACATCGCCTATTGGATCACAGCCTACCTCACCAGCACCGCGATCATAAACAATAAATTGCCGGAGAATGTTTCCTAAAAGTTGTGTTAAAAATTATTGTAGTCCCCATTCTGTTGAATATTTAGCGATGTGACGGAAATTGTCGAATTTTATAATACTCGGGCTACACGCCATCTGTCGTGTGGTAAATGAAGCAAGAAAAATATCAGATTGCGCCTGCGCATTCTCGCTTGCTGCTGAAAAACATGGCGTCGCTGGTGGTGATCGACGTGGTCGGCGTGGTGGAAGCTCATCGTTCCGCGTAGAGCGCTATGCTTGCCTAAATTCTCGTCGCGGGTCGCTATGATAAGCCAGCACGTCATAAAACGAAAGATTATCTACTCGTGATGTGATGTTGTGGCGGCACCCTCGAGACAGCACAAACGCTCGTGCCGTTGTCTTTGTTTACTTCGACTAGAGTTGTGCTTTCTTAGCTTTTGTGTCCTCGAGCATCGTCCGGCTTTCTTATTTTGCGCATTCCATGCGTGTGATCAGGTTCGAGATATTACTGGTGTGTACGCTATTTAAAGACGTGTACGAAGGATGCGAATTTCGACGCGGTTTTTTCACCCGAGAAAAGTGATTAGCGTTAGCATTCCTTGAACAATCGTAACGTCTATGTGATCACGAAATCACATTTTTACACGGCTATATTTTTTGCTAAGATTACATTGTCTTTTGCAGTCGTAGGATAGGCGTGTGACCAGATTTGTACTATCAGTAAAGTCGTGTTTTGATGTCGTGATCGTCCGAGGCGGCATGCTGCATTATTCTATTTTATTTTTTTAGCCACTCTCTCCTGCGAGCCCATCCTGACAAAATAAAAGTTAATTAAGCTTGAGCCCACAGGAGACTCTGTGCAGATTCTGCCACGCCAGTGAGTGACACCGCGTCCCCTAATTTTTAGAGATATAACGGAAACGGCTGACGGCGGCGGAAAAGCGGCTGTCGTGCTGACGACCTCCCGCGCATGCGTATGGGACCAGTCCCATGCTGCCGCTGCAGCGCAACATATCTAATTGAATTTCGCTCAGATGCGATGTGTCCACGGCTATCTCGGTGAGGAGAGGCGCCGATTGGGAAATTATGTCGGTGGCATCGGTGCCACCAGCGCAGTAAGACCTACCGGCACACCGCCAGCTCTCAGCTAACGCTCCCGATCTCCTACTGCCAAGAGAACTCCCGTTTCCGGCGACAGGGCACGTCACAACCGTCAAAATTACGCTGCGGCTTGTTTTTCGGCGAGTAGGAGAGGAAGAAAAACTCAATATTTCAATAATTGTTCAGGTAGATGTTAAGAAACCGAAACAAAAACGGATGCCTGTTCGGCGTTTAGAGAACATTGAAGGTTTAATGTAAAAGTTGTTTGTCAAATCTAAAAAGGTCATTTCATGGTGCCTTTAATTGCAACTTTATTGCTTCTACTAGCGAAAGCTACTAATCCGAAGACAAATTTAGTAGCTTAGTTATCTCTCCCTCACTCTCTCTCTCTCTCTCTCTCTATATATATGTATATGTATATATTGTTTTTTCTTTAATGTGCCCTCTGTACCAGTGCCGTTACAGATACGAGTGTGTTATACCAAAAGACGCTTAAAAAAAAAAAAAAAAAAACGCGTGTCAGCGATATCTATGGAAAAACAAAAATTATAATGTACAATGGACCTTTTGCCACTAGGCTTCTGCGCATGCGTACACTCCCGCCGTCGCCATTTTCGCAGGACACCGGGACGGTGCCCTGCGAAAATGGCGACACCAACATTGTCAGGATCTATCTTCGCGCGTATTTAGCCTATCTTGACGCTTTGTTTTTTAATACCAGTAGTATGGGGTATTAAAAGCACTGAAAACCAATACAACGGCGCGATATCAATGTGTTTTGACGGGCGGAGGCATGTCGGGCTGCTCTTCATTTGTAGTTCGCGGACAACTCCATAGACGGCGCTCGTTACTTGAAAAAGGTCCATTAAAGCAATACAGTTTATTCGCGTCATTTTTAAAATGATCGCAAAACAATTGGATGCATGTCCGGGAAAGTGATTGCAAATAAAAAAGACAAACACTGGCAATAATACCAGTTCCATTGCTATGCGGAGCGCAAGTTCGTCTGCTTCTTGCGCAGGGGTTGCAGTGACGTCAAAACGCCGAGCGCTGATTGGCTCTAATCGAAAGTGTAGCGGCTAGACTTCAGTGCTGGCTTCCTCGAGGTCTACCCACTATCCTACCAATAGTAGCCAATCAGAGATTGGCGTTCTTCTGACGTCACCGCAACCCCTCCGCAAGAAGCAGTCGAACTTGCGAACAGCATAGGTTTTTGGAGATGCAGATCCAAATATTAGTAAAGGGTAAGTTGGTTTTTATTCCAATAAGACTGAAGGTGCAGTGGCAGATGGTATGAAGCCTGAATAACAATTAGAAACAGCTTTCGATTTTCAAATGGACAGGTCAAGACCAGCGTTTCGGGTCGGTCCTGCGTATACTCTAGAATTCCGACATCATTAATACGTAATTTTTTTTTTTCTGTAACGATGTGTATGCCCGGGTGTTGGAGCTTCTGGCAGCTCTGTTCTTTAGCCATATATTTGGATGTCTGTGCCTTCGCAAAATATTTTTTTTATCTCGCTCTTAATTACTTTTGAAATCCGATGAATGTTTCGTGCCCTTAAACGTAGACAGGTGTCGCCAAAGTGAAATCAGATTTTTAATTTAATTTCCTTTTTATAACCGTCCCTGAATAGCAAAATAGTCATTTTAGTTGGGCTTGAGATATAAAGAGATATATTATCCTCTTTTTTTTTTCATTTTACACGCCATTTTTAGTCGCATATTTTGGTTATTATTACTTAGAGATTTGACATAGGAACGCCGACAACTTGTCAAAAGTGTGGCACAGCCTGCTTTTGAACGCCGCCAATAACTGTTGCTCAGTATTTATAATTATTTTTACCTTTCTTTTTTTAATTATAGCGGAGACAAAGTACACTTTGTCACTGCAAAGATTACGAGTTTGCAATTATACGCTGGGAAATTGGGCTCAATAAGTGTCCGCCAATCAAAGTTTACAAAAAATTGTCATTGAGTTTCTGAAGACTCACTCTGCTACAACTCTGTGTTGTTTTTCTGACGAACACTTGATTTCAAATCAATAACATTTATTTAGGTTTTTCTAGCTTCAAAAAAACGTGGTGAAGCGTTACTGGAACAAATGAAAAATGTTAAGGGAGCGAACAAACAACTGCCTTTCACATACGTGACCAGAAGTTAACGAACAAAGCTTGAAAGAAAGAACCTACTTAAACTCTGCTTAAAATTTTTAGACGATAAAAATGCGTGTGACCTTAAGCACCTTCAGATTTTGAGCCGTCTTTTTGCCAATTTCTAAGATTGCGACAACCATTCGTTATAACTTCCTAAATATGTCCCTGACGTGGACTTCTGAAAATATGGTCGCTCAGGAAAACGCTTGCAAAGATTGCATCTATATTAAAGGTAACCCTAAACCAACACTTGTAGCGTTTCCTTCCCTTTGTTCTGAAAAATCCACAAAAACGTCTTCGGAAACGATAACGTCTTCAGTTTTTGGTAATATGACCGAGAAAGATTTAGCAGAGTTTCGCGCTTGAAGAGGTCTCCTTTCACGGCAACTGCTTCAGAATGCGTTGTACGCTAGGATGAGTGAGTTAACAATACAAAACAGCTTACACGTTTGTGTTGTAATGATACTAACGAGTGGGACGATGGCTATATGGGTTCCTTACGTTTCTATATCAAAATAGGCGAAATATGCAGATGAATGAACCCTACAATTGACTTTGAATAAAAGTTACAAAGCTGCCGAAGGGCAAAGTTTGTTGAAGCCTAGATCTGAACTCCGGATCAGCGTGATTACCGGCGACGTATACTAAATATATCCGCACGCGCCGTGTGGATATATATGGTATATATCCACATATATCTACCTGCGCGCGATGTACACACCATTTAGGTTGCCTCTGTTCACACACAAAAACCAGGATAGCGACTACAGAAATAAGGGGAAAAGGGTGTTGTGGATGATATGAATCAAAAGTTGACCACGGCTTTGGCAGATTGTAGTTCAAATCTCGGGGTGTGTGTGGTACTAAGTAGCATATTTTTTTTCATCATGTTCTTTGCCGCGGTATAAACGTTTACATACACTTTTTTCTATAAAATAATGCGGTAAAGACAGATCCGTCTTCATAGAGGAAACGTTAGAGCACCAATGATTGCACACATTTCTATTTACTCGGAAGTGACGTGAATAAAGTTGGTGCATCTCACCTGTTGTACATCAGCACGTCGGGTTTCCAAATTTTGCTCGGCGGGATCCGCACTTCCTGCACTCCGCCGTAGAGCTTTGGATCCCAGCGGAGGTTCACGTCAATCCAATCCTTTCGTCGAAGAGCAGTCGAGGAACACATTTTCCGTGCATAAGGGCGCCCGGGGAAGTGAAGGGAAAGAAAGAAAGAATGAAGGGGAAAAAATAATAATGAAATAATGAAAGAGAGAAAGAGAAAGAAAGAAAGAAAGATAGAGACAAAAAAAGAAACACAAAAGATTAAAAAAGAGATATCAAAATAAAGAAAAAAAATAGAAAAAAGTAAGAGAGAAAGAAGGAAAGGGGGAAAGGAAGAAAAAGGAGAAAGAGCGAGGGACATGAAAAAATGTCAGGGAAGAGAGTGCCGCCACCACGCGAGGATTATAGGACGTCCAGAAAGTAGCGAGAAAGGGAGCCAGAAAGCCAAGTAAGGAGGAATTGAGAGAGGGAAGATAAAAACATTGACAAAAGATAAAGAAAAAAAAAGTGAAATTCGGTATTAATTCCGGTCAGCTGTCCGAGTGATTCTGCTGTAACAATGAATGGGACACCGAGAAACACCGACATGCACGCCAGTTCTGAGAGTGTAATGAAGGAAGCAAAATGTGGCAGCCAATTTGAGGAGGGTATGGATTGGTGACAATGGAGGAAAAGGTGCGAGCCGGAAGGGAGGGAATCTGAACAACAGCAAACAAATAAGTGGTGGTAGAAAGGAGATTCAAAATAAAACAAACAAAAGAAGTTTTCGCCTTCCATTTGATTGCGCAACACTGAGTGTGATACATTCATTACTCTTGCTTTACAGACAGTCTGTTCTGCTTATAAGGAGGGCCGCTTTCAGCAAGCCACTTCACAGGGCGAATGCTTAAACCAGATGCCAATCGTTTTTTTTTTTAATCTGAAATGCATCATTAAAGCTGCCCTGTGACGAGGAAATTTCGGTGTTGATTGTAGTTCTGCCTCTATGAACTAATAAACTAAGAACAGAGGGGGTGGAAGTTCAAGTTCCCTTCCATCAAGCAAGCTGTCTTCTCTAATGCTCCAACATTGCGATCCCGTTTTAGTCTTGCGCAAAGTTAAGTCGCCGTCTCGGCACTGCAGAAGCCAGTGACCTCGTAATCTGTGGTCAGGACGGCCAAAAACGCCTCCTAGGCGTTCTTTCCAGTTAAAGACTATAGATGGATAATTATAAATTGTTTAAACAGAAAAGTAATTGTCGGTAATCGCTTAAAACTGTAACTTTTTTTTCATAAAAACTAAAACAAATTTGGTATTTTAATTTAATTTCAGGAATTGGAGCTAGCGGAAAGAAGTGCTAAAAATATCGTTCTCATTTTTTATGTTAGTTGTCTAAATTCCTTAAGAAATTCTTTAAATGGTCGACACCTGCGCATCAGTAAATATTGACGATTTGTTTTTAAATTTACCTTTAATCACGGAGTGTTTACGTAAAGAAATCATGTACTTAACAAGAAGGTGTTCTTTTAAAAACGCTGTGCCCCTCTTATTTTACGTAATTGCTAACTTGAAAATGCAGCGCCGACGACTTGTTAGTTTGAGAAACACTGAAAATAAAACTTTATTTTTGTACCTTAAAGAAAAGCTTGAGTTTCCTTAAAAAAACTTATCTCGTCAGGCCTGTTTCAATAGTCGTCACATTATTTGTACGTGAAGGGGTAACATACGTTTTAAGATAGATCGTCCGCAAAGAGACGCAAGGACGACACGTTTGTTAGCAGCGCTCAGTGACGCTTTCAGCATTGTGTTTGAGCCCCACGACACTCAAATGGAAGGCGCTACTCCAGATACGGCGTTTGGAGCTGCCTCAGAATATGTATGCCAGTATGTTATCATATTTTGTGAGCTGCATTGTGCGGTAAATAAATATGCTACAGTCAATTCCTTAGCGCTTCGACCCGGCTGAATATGCACAGAATTTTAAATATCCTAAACCTAATCAAAAACAGCTCAAACTTTTCCAATGCGTCATATTGTTAGCCGATAAAAGTATAAATATCGAATTATTTGCCACCGTCTAAGGGCTGTCACGGACAGTAACTACAAAGAACATAAAAGTCTGCGACATTGACATCCTCGCTAAAACTTTCTGCCAGTGGAACTTGCTGCTTCATTAATTGCGCCGTAGTGAGCAGACATAGATGGATGGATGGAAATAACTTTACATATTTATAGAGGTGAAGGCGGTTATGCCCGCGCTCATTCGGCAGTTAGTCACACTTGGTGGCCGGGAGCCCATGTGCCTCGGCGACCTCGGCATCCCTACGGACCACATGTAATTCGGTGATCGGGTTTGAGCCGCGTAGTGCAGCGTCCTACCGCTCCTCTGATGGGAAGGGAGAGGAAGGGACAGGAATATATTGGGAGTTGAATTGCTCACGGAGACATATTTTAAGAAAGTGTTGGTTGTCGGAACCTCAGTTCGCAATATAAGACTGCAAAACCAAACTCGAATTCTTTTTTTTAACGTAATGTATGTAAGGCTACGTTATCGTGCCACTCTTGTACAATATAGCGATATTCTGGTACACCTAGAACTTGCTGGAGACAAATTATACTAAGAGGAAACCTAGCTTATACAGATTTAAATAGAAGTACCATAAGACGCCAAAGCAAAGCTGAAATTCAATGTAAGCAAAACAAATATTATATATATATATATATATATATATATTTGCAATGAAAAAACATCCGTTACGTGTGAAAGCAGAAGTGAGTTTCCTCCGCCTGTGATTAGAATACACTAAATAGTTTATCGCAATGCAATGGCTACGGCGCAATCACAGATGCTGAATGGCTGCTTACAGAAACAAAACGGCTGCCTCGCTCTCTGAAAGTATTTGACTTCGGTATTTTACTTTTTGTTTTTAGTTTCCCTCGTTGGGTACGAAATTACAGTGTTAACACGAAGTAAAGATCGAATGACCCTTTGGTAACAGATAAAATCTAACGCCATTCTTCCCAGATGTTTGCCTCTTACCCCCAGAGGAATAAGTGGAACAATAACCTGCCCCCTAAATTTTTCTTGTGGTGTTTTACGGTCGCTTTCATCATCTTCTTTCCTTTATACACGGCATTGTGGGCCTTTTAAGTTTGGTAATGATGGCAGCCTCATGGGGCTGTAGCGCGTGTGAGATAATGCCGAATACACCGCGGCTCACAGTTCCAATTAATCCATGCTAATGAGACTGGCACGTGGTCCTAGCTTCTTTTTGAAATAAGAATGCCAAGATCCAGGTGATTCGTAATTGCTGTCGTGTTTTTCGATGTGCGATAATGTGTTCCTCTGCACAGAAGAGATGAGTAAAACATTCTTCTGACATTCGTGGCTTGCCTTTTTTGGCACAATTTGCCTTTATTTTGTTTAAGATGCATTGTATCCCAAGAGACCGACTGCGGGAATACCATACTCCAACGTTTTATTTTTTTTAAAGGTTATTTAAGAAGTAAGGAAAGTTTACCACCTTCATACCTTCTTAATTTACACGAATTAGGCGATTAATATTAATTGGAAATTGCAAAATATGTTTGAAGAACACAAGTTGCTTTTAGGAGCCATACACTGGAGCGCACATATTGCTTCAAATGCAAGTGTTTTTTGCGCAACGATCGAGTCGCTCGTACTCGATTTCAACTGAAGACCATGTGTGACGTCCACTGGGATTTTTTTTAACTTCCCTGGGTCCTGGCACGGGCGAAATGCCGAACAAGACATTGTTCCCGCGACAGTTTTTATCGGGAACGCTACTAGACATCGTTCATTGCTCCAGAAAATTGCACTTTCTTCGTGTGTTTCTCTCTATCGGGTGGTGTGCGCCGTGGCACCATGCCTGCCCCCTATCGGTGAACCTGCGGAACAGATAAAGAACAAAATGCCTTCTCGCTTTACAGTTTGTCCGCGCAGAAGTTTATGCTAATTTGCGCAAACTCGCTAACTCAACTTTAAATTCAATTTGACGTGAACTATCGTGATTAAACAATTTCAAACTTTTGGAACATTGACGAGAAAAGCTCTGTCGAAGGGTGGTCAGTCGCTTAATGTTTTTCGTCACTCTTGATGATGTACTAAAAAACAAGTTTTATGGCGGCGTAGATTTTATTGGTGTCAAAGTGTGCTGTACATTTTTTTTTTTTTAGTTTTGAATACGAACACCGAAGATAAAAGGCATTGGAATGCCGAGATTCACAAGACAAAATACGAGGTTTGTGAAGATTGGAGTTGAAGACATAAACTGCTGAACGTTCACAACGAAACTACGGATAGAGTTCAAATTCGGCGTGAACTAACGCGCTTTGATGACTTGACAATCCTGGAAACCGATGGGTACATTGGTCAGCGAAGGTTGGTCAATGGTATGAAGCACAAACAGCGCATACGAAGGAACATCGTGAAGGAGGAATTGGTCTTCTAATTTGATGGGGCTCCGGCACAAGTAGCTGCCACTTCAGTCACTCCAGCAACAATCATCTCACTGCTGCATTCGCCGTCACTGCCGATGACGCGAAGCTCACTCCTGATAGATGCTTCTAAGTTGACATCAGGTGGAATGCCAGGAAGGTCACTCAAACACCATTGTTTTAAATTCTCTTTTATGCGGTGTACTTGACGTCCCGGTCAGATTACACCTTCAAGTCCCGCGTCATCTGTTTCCGTGTTGTCGCCGTCTTCCGTAATTCTCTGCGCGTACCTCTTGCCCGCCGTTTTAGTTTTATAAACGACGCCATTTCGATTCAGAAATCGTAATCTTGAAGAGAGCTTAGTGGAAGTCGGCGACGGGCTGTACATTATTATCCTCTTATGAACAATGGGACGAAAATTTTACATCGCACTCTAATATATCTCGAGAAACCGAACAGCAGCTGTCATCCTATTATATGAGGCGTACTAGCAATAGCTCGACAATAGGACGGCAACGGTCTATTATATATTGAAAGTACTTTGTAATATTGTTTATTTTCACGTACACAGTTGAATACGCGATGTCCCAGCACATTTCCAACGACTAATTAAAATGTGTTTTGAATAGTCCAGGAATCCAGTGACTACTATTGCGAGGAACATGAGAACCAATAAATCAACAGTCATTTGGGTGCTCCACTGAATAGCTAGCATTTTTTGTAAGAATAATGACACGTTATTGTCGATGCATGGTCTTAACAAGACTTCGCTTCACGCTGAGTGGCTGCTACAGATTTCTTCGCCTTATCGAGCCTCTGAAGTTGTATGAAGATATTGCTGAATGCAGCACGGTAATTAAGTTCAGTCTTTTATATTCCGAGCTGAACATCACTCTGAAATGCGGCGCCAGGACAAAATTATGGAGGAGATGGTTTGACTCAAGATGAGAAATGTCGTTGAAGACCACTGAACTGATATTGTGATTACTGAACTGATAGCGTGAAGCACCCTAGCGCTAATTCTACTTGGAAAATCCTTTATCTATCGATGGAAATACAATTCTAGCATTATCAGTCGTATTCAATAGTGTGATGCTCTCCGCTAGTCAGCTGTGAAGGCAGCCTCCAATGAAGCCAATTACACTGAGAGTTCCGAAATGGTCTAACCTTCTACACCTCAATATCCAGGCAACTCGAAGAGAGCGCAAAATGGCTCCGGCAGGTCTCTGATATCTTGAAGAGAGATGCCATCACATGCTTCTGCATCGATAACACAAGGAAGCTGACAGGTTGGTTGACCGTCGGTTGTTAAAATCGGAAGCTCTCATTGCCAAATGATTGGACTATCCAACAGTAGAGCAACCTGTTCTGCTTTAAAACGTTCATTCAAGCACATTTTTTACTGGACAATACATTCCACGCATGGCTGATGTTTTGTCCATGTCGAGGTGAAATTATACACGGGAGTTGTTTGGTCAAACAAGCAGTAAAATAATAAAATGAAATCCTATTAAACACTGGGGTCAGAAAATATTTGGGTTCATTAAATTCAATATTTCTATATTAGTCGACGAGAGTACCGATACCGTCAAATTGTTGAACTCGAGAATAATGAATTCTAGAGCCGACACTGCCGGAATAAATATGTCTATTTGTTCTCCCTTTTATTGAATCAAAATGTCTATTGCTATTTTTGTTTCTTCTCTGCAAGCGTTTCTCAAAATGAAGAGAAAAATGTGGCAAAGGCGAAATATGATAAATTGTTTGTACAGATCCAAAGTTGATATTCTTTCATGAATTTGTATCTAAAACACTTATATTATTAACTAGAGAAACAAAGTATACCTTACAAAATCAACAAAAATATGTAATCACCCGCAGCCTAAGTATGCAGCATTATAGCATATTGTTAACCAAACATTTGTTTGTTAGTGAGTTAGTGACTTAAAAATATTGCAGTATTTGCCACAAGATATATTGCGCGACAGCTAGAACATCTCTAAAATTGAAATATGCGCGAATATGTTTTACTGGCATCAATATTTTGAGGCATATCCTGAAGGCTTGCGTGCAGTTTTGGTAAAGCATAGCAAACATTCACAAGCAGAATCGCAACATCGAAAAGCGTGGGAGGGTAGAAAATGTTACTGTGTTCTGGTTGAGTTTATTTTGGTTTCCATTATAATTTCACATTTTTTTGAAATTGTGTTTTGAGGGTGTAGTGATTCCTCATCTACTTTTTGTTTCAAAAATAACCATCAAGCTTCAACGCAGAAATCTTTTCGAATATTACTTTCATATTTTGAACTGTTCTTTCAATTTTACACTAAGAATCCTCTTTGCGTATTCTTAAAGAGTTCTTTATAACGAAGTGAAAAAAAGACTCAGACTATTGTGTAAAAAAAGTTTTATAGCTGCAGAAAACAAATTAACCCGACATACTAGAAATCTAGTAAAAATACAACTTTTTGTCAAGATTTATTCAACCGCGGCATTCATTATATTTAAAGGTTAGTCCGGGTTTAGAAATTACCCTTCGACCAGGTCGCTGTGCATTTCTTTATAAGAATCCAAGATGGCGAGTATTGCTCCTTTGTCCTATCATTTTGGTAAGATAACGACGAAAGTTTTTAAGTGCATTGTTTATTGAGTTAGTCCATATTATATTTCACTCTTGTGTCCTTAAATTTGCGCACAGTTACCTTCATCGAAGAGCAGTTTACAGCGACCTTCATTTTTGTTGACTCTGAGAGGATGAGGCTTTCTTTGTACAAACAAGAACGGGTTTAACTTCAACGTGTTATTTATTTTATTCATACATTGCATTAGATTTTGCATTAAAACCCATAAGTATCTCAAAAACAAACGAAGGCACCCACCGATATTGCCTTAAAAAATAATTTAACTCAAGTTTTACTAGCAAGATCAAAATTATTTTAATTTCCAAAATAAAGTGTGGACGAAAAATAAAAGTCACTAAAGAACCACTTTACACGTGGTAATGGTATATTGCAAATTCTTGGTTAATCATTTTGTACTCTTGTCGTAATGTTTTAAAGCAATATGTACTATCCTCAAAAAGCAAACTCTCTGGTAACTTGTTCAGGAAAACCCTGTCATGATTCATCTCTAACATTTTCACAAAATTCAAACATGCACTCACGCTTGCAGTGCCACTGAAGTTGTCTATATGCCTTGTATTTGCTACTCGAACATGATTTTAATGTATTTGAATAGTTACTAGTCAACGTGCACTATCCTACAATTTTTAAGCCCCTTACTCTCGCCAATAAGGTCATGCATTAATCGGGAATCTGCAAACCGAGGAAACTATCATATTTGCCGTCTACAAAAATAAAAGGAAACTTAAAACAGGCGTGAGCGTGCGGAGAAAAGCAGACAGCATGCAGTGGTGGGCCTAACAATGTAGAGTGTTGGCTACGCAAGTGACTTCAAAGCTGCAACAACCTGAACATTTCATTGAATCTATGTCTGTCGATCATGCCTTTAGAGTTAGTTCAAGTGACAAAGTATAGGACTCTTCCTATCCATATTGCTCTTCAAACACAGATAGCGTCTTCTTCCAAGAGCTTTGTTTACTCTGTAGTTCTTAGGCTTAATTCAACTTTACAAAGCAACTATTATTTATTTGAACTATGATGATTGACAGTGTGCTCATGTTATCTTTTAAAAGGGCAGACACAAAGAAACAGCTTCTTAGAGGATAAATTTGGTTGAAAGAAATCACCCTCTCAGATTTCTATTTAGAAATCGGTTTAGTGAGTACTCATTTCTATGGCACGAACGCCTATCAATATGAACGCACGAATAAATTTTCGTAAGCTCCTTTCAATGGAGACAAACATTTTTATATCAAATTTAACGTTTTACAGAAGCATTAAAGCAAACAATAAAAAAAAAATCTTATATTTTGAATTAAGCGATTCTTGCCATCTGCTTTGTCTATTTTGCACAAGATAGACCGGTTTAGTCTTCTGGTTTGTTTCATTCTACCTACGCGTCACTGATACTCCGCGCATATTTGTGGGTTGTATAGTTTGCTGATTTTATTGAAGTATTCGCCAATTTGAATGAACAATCACTCGGCGAGAAAGACCCCTTCAACCTCCTTTATCCTCTAACATGAAACAAATTATTTCGATTCTGCTTAAATGGCAATGATCAGACTGGCCTTAGTTATAAAATTGTTACGGCAAAAATTTAAATTTAAAAACTGACCTAACTGCTAAAAAAAAATTACGGCACGGGGTACTAGATCGGCGAACTTACCAAGGTTAACCAGATATTTGTAATTATTAGTTGATTCTTTTCATCCTATAAAAGAGTAGAAGTGAAGAGAAGGCAGGCGTCAGTATCGCGAGCTATAGTGGCGCCTCCTAGAACACGAGGACTCAGTACAACAGACCGTGACATCACATGGTAGCTAACTCGTGAGGCAGGACCGGCACAATTCAGCATTGATAGAAGATTCACTAGAAATATCAATTAATTGGAGCATTCCGTAAGTTTGGTTGTTTTGCTTTGCATGATTTGCGACACCACGGCATTAAGCACTCAGTCCTTCTATTCAAGAAGGCGCGACGTTTCACATCTTCTGCAAAGGTTTTGCTTAGCTACTGCATAGTGATGAAGCAGAAGGCATTCTCTATAAACTTAGCGAAGATGGAATAAAATATTCACCAGTAAGAATGCCTAAAAGTGTAATTATTTTAAATAATTATATCTTAATTATAAGCCGCTTAACCAATGGCTACATTCGGCACGCGCGATCTGCAATCGACACCCAAGACTGACAGTCTTTATGACAATCCGTGCGGTAGAAGGCCGAACACGGACTAATTCAACTTTCTTGGTCTAGGAATGGAGCACACCTCTCACCCTATTAAGTTGGTGAACTGAATAGAATCATTTCTAAGTTGGCCGAACGGCAAAGCTGATCATAAGTGATCCAATAATGAGTGTTTCATGCTCAAACTGGCACGCCCATAAGTATTGTTAGAGCGTACGCAGTAAGGTTTGAGTGCATCAGGAAGGATAGAGGGAGATAAGAGAAAAGTGCTGCCTTTCCTAAGAGCATGAGCGAGGTAGCGGGAGAGCGAAAGAGCTGTCTTATCTTCCAGTGCCAAAGTTAATTCCGTCCATTTAGGTTTTCTTTATAGAGAACTTGTTTTTCTAGTAACTATTTTCACCTGTCTCCACACAATATTTTTGTTCCAAATGTTTGCCTGCTAGCGTATTGTGCATGTGTGTGTGTGTGTGCGTGTTTCGCGGGGAATAAAAAAGGGAACGCTGCGTCACAAGACGTTCTCCACACTGCACATCACGTAAGCACTTGGAGTCACTTACCAGGTTTAACCAAACGTTTGTTGTTATTATCTGATTTTTTTCGTCCTACGGGGAGAAACAGAGTTCGACACGCTTTAGCGCACGAACCCTTTTTGTTAAAATTTTGAGGTCTACTGCACTGATTATACAGGTTGATGTGTTTCTGGATTACTTGCAGTGTTCTGGTTCTGGAATGATACTATTTGCACTGTAAGGACAAAATCAGCATTAGGTTGTTTTTTTTTTGTATCTGTGTTTAGGAGACCACGATGAAGATTTAAGGCTCTTCAGTATTTGGATTTTGACAATCGTTTATATTTACGCCACCATGTAATTTTGTGCTGGTCGTCTTAAGCTACTATCGTCGTCCTAAGCGTACGTCTAGGGATGCAATCTTTACTTTTATGAAATATTTGTTAAAACGATTCCTCTGAGGACCTTACCCTAGCAACCGGGAAAAATTGCAAATGCTCGCGAAATCTATACGGAAATATTATGGCTCATAAAAGCAAGAGTCGCTTCTTGGCACGTAATTGCTTTTTCTTCGGGTATGTAGAAAACAATAAAAAAACTTTCGAATTCATTTGGTAATCCAAAAATAACAGTGACGCAGATAACAGTTAGTTCCGTGTGCTATCACGAATTCGAGGGTGTCCGTATCTGTGTATGTGAATATGCGCGTGGATATGTGTTTGCGAATATTTTGGCTTAAATGATCAGGCATTTTTGGTTTGTGAAATTAAGCTGTTTGACGTGTTACTTTCTGATAAGGGTTTTATTGCCAAAACAGGCACCAGATTCACCCAGCGGTTTTCATCGATAGGTAGAAAAAGATTGTGCTCTAAAATGAAGATAAAATAGGGTGCATAAAAGACTAATCTTAAAAGGAATGTTAAGAGCTCTGTAAAATATTCAAAAATCGCACGCTCTGAAAACAAATGTTCACATACAACACTCACAAGCAGTATTTATACAATGATACTTTTCAACTGCTGGCCACTTCTATATACCTAAAATTTTGAATCAATTTGTAACTAACCATACCGTACGTCCTGTAATTTTCTTAGATTTTGTGCAATTTGTAGTTCATCAATGTGTGGCGTGCCAAAAATATTTGATGATGTAAGAATTTTAATATGGGTATCATGTTGGTTAATTAGAACGATTGTATCTGACGAAATTGAGTTACAATACATTGTCTACTTCACGTGTGTCACAATATTGTGACGGAACAGATTACAACAATTTTATAAGTTCAAGTTCAATTCTTACATCAAACTGCATCCGTCAGTACATTTATCGCAGTGAGTAGTAAAATTCTTAAAGCAGTAATTGTCTTAGATTTGTTTTAGAATGTTTTGCAAAAATGAAAAGCAAAAAATTAAAATAAATTGTTCCTTTAGGTGAAAAGTGTTCTCCGTAACTTCCGAAGATACAGAAAGTTGAAGGATTCCTTTGATTTTGTTTTAACAGGATATCGGAATTATGCGATCCTTACCGTATATTACCACTTTGGTTCAACTTAACGCCAGACGTCCTACAATGCCACCACTTTCTATGTTGGCGATTGATATCATGCTAGTATTCACTGACCTCACGAAAACATCTAGAAAAAAGTCTGTACATATGATGAGCTACCACGTCCCACTGGGTATTACTTGTTATGGTGGTGATTTCTTTCTAACTAAAATCACAAACGTACAGCCGCTGCTCATGTAAAATAACCTTATATGTCTAACCACAGGCTTCTCTCTCAGGTCGTTAATGCTCCCTGAAGCTCGGAGCTGCCGTTGTATCGCCAATATTCCACAAGCAACAACCAAACTGTTTTCTTCTAGTTAGACTCGCAAAGAGAGAAGTCTATATAAAATAACATTGTCTTATTTTCACGTTGTAGCCTTTCGATTAAGTTATATTAATGTTTTCAACACATTTGTAGTTGATTATACCGCAACTTTTCATTGAATTATGCTGGGTAAAAACCGTTTAATACTCACTAAAACGAAAATAACCATAAAGGCCCGTTCACACTCTTGCGACCGAGTACGACTGAGAGAGAAGAGATCTCTTAAACTTCTTAAGTGATTTTACAATGAGGGAACACCTGACATTGTGGCGCCATCTATGCGGTGACCCTGGAACTGCATTTCACAAGAGCGAAGGTTTTGCGGGATTTCCGAGGTCAAATGTGCGCAATACCCATAGAAAGGCTCGTTTATAACATTGACAAAAGTCTTTCGAGCCAAGAAAGAGAGGATAATGCGCGAGAAATAAAAAAAAATATGCCGGGCCGTCGAGTTTACACTGCTTCCCAATAGATGGCGCCAGTGTGTTCTCTGGTTTAAGAAGTTTTAAGAAACCTAGGTTTAAAGGCCCGTTCACACTCTTGCGACCGAGTACGACTGAGAGAGACGAGATCTCTTAGAACTTCTTAAATGTTTCTAGAATGAGGGAACACACTGACATTGTGGCGCCATCTATGCGGTGACCCTAGAACTGCATTTCACAAAAGCGAAGGTTTTGCGGGATTTCCGAGGTCAAATGTGCGTAATACCCATAGAAAGGCTCGTTTATAACATTGACAAAAGTTTTTCGAGCCAAAAAAGAAAGGATAATGCGCGAGAAATAAAAACAAATATGCCGGACCGCCGAGTTTACACTGCTTCCCAATAGATGGCGCCGGTGTGTTCTCTGGTTTAAGAAGTTTTAAGGAACCCAGGTTTAAGAGGTCGCTAGCAGTCGCAAGAGTGTGAACGGGCCTTAAGAGGTCGCAAGAGTGTGAACGGGCCTTAACTCAAAAGGCATATTGCCATACACTAGTGCATGCAAGAAACATGTAATGTGGTTGTTGTTTTTTTCTGTTTTGTTTTTGGCTAGCGGTACACCCTGACGTGTTTTTACTGTATTAGTGCAGAGTGAGACAATAGACAATGGTTGACGCTGATGGGTCTATGTAACGGTATAACTTGAAGCTTTCGGTGGCCGGGACGATGTACCTTGGATAGGGATGCGTAATCTTTATGAAAGTCTTGAGCTTCGTGTTCGCGCACAAAGAAATTCTACGAAATTGTCCGCCGTCAACAAATTAGTTTGCAAGGATGCAATGGGAACGGTCATGGAGCTCATTACTGCAATCTACTAAGTTGATTTTACATAAAGGCGTTTCGTCTTGCATATTAATATAGTGGCTTTGGCAGGACACACATTTCCATACTGTTTGGTTGTGCTGAGCAAGAATTTATTTTTGTGTGCGATTCTTGTCTACTGAAAACACAGTCCGCTGTAAAAATTTGGACACTTTGAAATTGCCATTATGTGCATTGCAGTTCACATAAAGAATGTGGGACGCATCTGTCAACAATTGTATGGTTAACTATTAGAAAAAGCCGTATAGTAAAACCTTTACTTTTTATATTTAGAGTGGAGGAGGCTTAAGGAGTCGCAATAGGATACAGACTGATAAACTTCTTCACAGCTACGGGAATTTGCTGTACGCTTTGGATAAGGTCAATGTCGGGCAGTTTTGAACACTAAGAATTTCCAAAACGGGAGAAGCACTTTGTCCTACGGGATTCTGGAAAGTACACAGTACACCAGAAAACACAGAGCACAACAGCATATTCTATACCACAATCCAATACTCATGACAAGCACTAAGTTAATCAACTGTCAATGAAATAAAGACTCATTACGTGCAAGAAACATTAATGCTATTGACAAAAGATAAATAGTCTGTTTGTTCTAAAAATCTATATTGCTCAACTTATTATTGTATGTACTCGGATGTTCAAGCAATACCACTGGAGCAGTTATTAAAAATAGTGTAACCCGAAAAAGCAAGAGATGATTCACAATGAAAAAGCATAATCTTACATATTAGTTTTTTTGTAACCAGCAACCACAATAATAATACTAAATTTTTATAAGTCTATCAGTTTTAGTATGCCATTTCGCACAAAACACAAGTTTTTTGTTGTTGTTTTATTACAATCGTTTTGTTTTAAATAATAAGCGGAACGAGAAAAGTCAGTTTAAAGTGGGAAATATAAGACGTGACTTTTGGTTCCTAAAAATATGGCAACTTTATTTTTAACCCCAATATTACGAAATGTTTCAGATGATTTTTTTTTCGATTTTAAATGCAAATTGGCAAAGGGGAGTGGGAAAGGGTCGCCGCAGGAAATGTCGGGTTCATTCTGGTCGTGTCAGGCAGCCTGATCTCGCTCGGTTAGATGGAAGTAAAGAAATGCGAATGATGCGTTCTTTGGTGGATTTCCATTCTAACTCGTCGCGAAAGCTTGGGCTGGAACTAGAGTCACCGCGCGCCAGCATTGCGCTCGTTTTATAAAACGGAGCAAAGGCGTCTAGACTGCGCCTGAGGCTATGTGGACACGCGCTATTGACAATTCCAATAATCATCTATTGTGCGCCGCCACCTTTGTTCACTAGACAGTGGAACGCGTCCTGAGCACACGCGGTTGCGCTCCTCTCTGGAATAACAGACGCCACGCATGCGTCCAGAGTGTCTACGTACACAGGGCATTTCTCACTTGGGTGATAAGCTCTTCAAAAGAGTACAGGGCGGTTTCACGAGGAGCTTTAATTCGCTTTTCTTCTATCCATTTCTATTCGTTTACAAACGAAGTGATTCTTCATTAGCGTAAAGTTTGGTGCTAGTAAAATGCAGAAGCTTGACGAGTGGCTCCACTGATGACAGTATTTCAAGACACAGGATTGGGGAGATCTTTGACAGCGTTCTATAGCTTCCCCGAGTACGTCCGAGCCATTCTCGCGGGCATTGCCAGATAGGCGACAATTAAAGTAGTTTGTTTTATTAGATCAAAGCGTCGACCTCGGACAAAAAGATACGTCATTCTTGGGAGGGGCGCTGGAGGACGCGGGTACACTCTTAAAGGCTCTGTTATACTCCGACGTTGAGAGCAGCGAATGTAGCGTAGCGCTGAGCGCGGGCATTTGATTGGCCGGCGAACAGAAACTCGATATCTGCGACCTATCAGTATCGGCGTGCGCTGCTCTACACCGCGTGTGCTACGCTCGACGTCGGA